AGTAAATGGCAAACCTGGGATGGCATTTGGGTCTATTTCCAACTGCAGAAATCGACAGCGTGTTTTAAAGAAGGAACATGGATCTGGTTCAAATCCTGAACCCGCCACTGAAGGCGGTGTGAGCCTGGGAGGTGGCTCAGCCTATCCGAGCCTCAATTTTCTCATCTCTAAAAGTGGGTTTACATCCAACATCGTACAGATGCTTCCGAGGTTTAAAAGAGATAAACAGTGAACGTGTCGATCATTCATGAATAAGTAATAAGTGCTAAGTGTGGCCATTTGACCACGTTCTGGCCAATGAGATGTCAGTGGGAAAAGCCTGGGATGCTTTCTGGAAAACTCATGTAAAAGAGAGGAAGCTGTGGAGAAGAGGGAACCTAGTGCACTGCTGGTGGGAATGCAGGCTGGTGCAGCCACTATGGAAAACACTATGGTGTTTCCTCAAAAAATTAAAAACCCAACTGCCATTTGACCCAGCTATCCCACTCCTAGGAATGTATTCTAAGAATCCTGAAACACCAGTCAGAAAAAAGATATGCACGTTCATAGCAGCGCTATTTAAAATAGCTAAGATCTGGAAACAGCCCAAGTGCCCATCAGTAGATGAGTGGATAAAAAAGCTGTGGTACATGTACACAAGGGAATACTATGTAGCTGTAAGAAAGAAGGACCTATCACCCTTGGAGACAACATGGAGGGACCTGGAGAGTATTATGCTAAGCAAAATAAAAAGAAAGAGGAAGACAGATATCACATGATTTCATGTATCTGTGGAATCTAATGAACAAAATAAACTGACGAATAAAATAGAACCAGAGGCATGGAAACATGAAACAGACTGACGGATCTCAGAGGGTAGGGGGTGGCAGTGGGGCGTGGGAAGAGATTAATCAAAGAATTTATATGCATATTTGCATTGTCTGTGGACACAGACAACAGGGTGGTGAAGGTCTGGGGTGGGGCCTCAGTACTCAGACAATGTGGGGTGAAAACAAAGACAAACGGAGAAGATGCCAATCAGGGAGAGAAGACTCAATTGGTCACCATTATTCTCATCCAAGACATAGCCTCAGGGCTAGAACACAGAACAGAGGGTGGTTGCCTCATGCTCTAGTTAGAAGGACAAAGACACAGGTGCTTCCGAATCCCAGCATGTGTCTGACACCCTCTGGGTGGCCCCATCTTGGGATGAAGAGCCACCCTCTGGTAGGTGAGCCTGACCAGCCTCCCAATGGTCTATGGAGACATCTGGGATGGGGGTAGGTGCAGCAGGAGCTGGTGGCCCCCCAGGTGTCAACCCTTCCGTCCTCAAGCACAGCCCTGGAGTTGGGGGAAGAGAGCACATTGGGCTACCCTCCCTTCCCAGGAGAGTGAGGATGTCACTGTGAAGGGGCCAGCACTTTCCTCTTTCAAAACTCGGTTTGGAAGACTGAGGGGTAGTAGGCATAAGCAGACATCAAAAACATGATTCCAAAGTAATAGGTTTCCTAGATTAGCAAAATTCACAGAGACAGAATGTAGAATCCTGATTACCGGGGCTGGGAGGGGCAGAGGAAGGAGTATTGTTCAATGGATATAGTTTCAGTTTACAAGATGAGCTTTAGAGACGGATGGTGGTAATGGTTGCACAACACAAATGCACTCAATACCAAGAACCTTACAGGTTAAAATAGTTAAGACGGTAATTTTAATTGTACACTATTTACCACAATCAAAGAAAGGGAGAGAAAAGGAGCAAATGCAGATGGGCTAAGCCCAGGAGGCGTCCCGCGCTCCGTCAGGACCTGCGCGTGGTGCAGGAACAAGGGTACTCAGATGTTCTGATGATTACCTCTCGGTGTACTCGTGGTGTCTTTTTTAAGTGTTGAGGTCATAACCAGAGGCAGCCAAGGATCTGAGGACAGTTGACTTGATCGTACACAGCGTAGCATTTGTTACAAGTGCATTTGCGTTCTGGCCATGTGGGCTGCCCAGCTCCCAAATGATTAGCTCCCCATCTTTTTTATTTATTTATTTATTTATTTATTTATTTATTTATTTATTTATTTATTTATTTATTTATTTTTAATCCTCACCTTAGGATATTTTCCCATTTATGTTTAGATAGAGGGGGAGGGAGAGAGAGAGAAACATCCACTCGAGAGGGACACATCAACTGGTTGTTTCCCACAGGACCCTGACCAGGGCCAGGGACAAGCCACAACCGAAGTACGTGCCTTTGACCAGAATCGAACTCTTGACTCATTGGTCCTCAGGCCCGACACTCTACCGCTGAGCCAAATCAGCCAGGGCTAGTTCCCCATCTTTATAAGCTTGTGTTAGGGTAAGCTGCAGACCTGCAACGGTTGATGTGGGCTTTACATCCCTTCCCAGGTGCCCGCTGGCCGGCCACAGACCTAACCCAGATCCCGCTCAGACTCCAGAACAAGGAGCTGTCGCCATCAGGGTTAACACTCCATCCGGATGCCCGCCCGCCACAGTTGCCTGTAGTGTAGCTGGTTTGAAGTGTCAGCAGGTTTCAGGGACACTCAGACACACAGGGTCAGGGCCTGAGTATTTGCAAACTGCAGTGTGTGGTACATGCTTTTCTAAGTGTGACTTTTAGAAGTTGTATTTGGAGGGTGAATCAGTGAAGTGTAAATAAGCCAACTTTTTCGTCAGGCGAGGACCAGTCCAGATTTGCATATTATTTTGTTTTTTAAACAACTCTAAGCCATGGCAGCATTATATGAAAAATTGTTTGAAACAAATGTTCCCAGATTGGGTTGGAGAAAACGCAGCAATAAAATAAAGTCTGGCTTACAACCTTGGTTGCGCTCAGCAGTGAAATCTCGGCTGGTGCTGTCCGTCCGCAGGGTCAGTGCTGAGGGTGATTTGATGCAAACCCATCCTTGGACTCCGGAGTTTGCATGAAACACCACAAATGTGCAAGGAGCTCTCCAGCCCCGGAGACTCTCATGTATGTGCGGTGTCACTGTGATGGCTCCAAGCTCAGTGACATAAGAGGGTGGTGGTGACACACAGCTTTCTGAACACGAGGCCCAGCCCCACCCCTGCTATTGCCCTCGGCTGCCTTTACCATGACTTCCCCTTTCCTGCTCTCACACACCCAGCCCTTCGCTGCTCCGGCCTCAGACTGGTTGTCCGCACTGAATGGTGAGCGGGATGTGTCCAGGCCTCACAGGTCGTGTGTGTGTTTGTGTCTTCGTCTCAGGTGGGGCCTGGCCCCCAGCTCTTTAACGGGGGTTTTCTGAGCTGTGTCTGTGGCTGTCCCTCTGAGTCTGTGTAGGAGACAGTGTCTGTCTGACCCGAGAAAGCGGCCAGCCTCTCACGATGTCTCCGAAGGCTGAGCAGTTTCCGGATGCGAATCCTGGAGCTGCCTCTGCTCCTGACAGTTTATTTTTTGAGAATCCTGACTCTGGATGTTTTGAATCCCAAAGCCTTTAACATCATGTGCAGATAACATCACATGGGAATCCAGCATATTTGCTATTTCCTGGAGATGGACCCCATTCCCAGCCATAGTATATTTTCCTAACACCTCCACCTGACGAAATGATGGGAAAGAAGTAAGCACTGGCTGCTCAATTTATTGTCCCTCCCAGCTGTGCCCTAAACACCCAGCCCTTCGCTGCTCCGGCCTGAGACCGGTTGTCCACACTGAATGGTGAGTGGGATGTACCCAGGCCTCACAGGTCGTGAGTGTGCTTGTGTCTTCATCACAGGTTGGTCCACGAGCCAACTCTTCAGTGCTGGGCCAAACCAGCCAGGGCTATATAAATTATTTAATTAAATATCTTCATCTGTATAATGAGCATAATAATCATATACCGCATAGGTTTGTTGTGAGAATTAAATGAACATGTATAGACCACAGTAGAGCTCGGTAGAGGTGAGCCCCCTCCTGTGCTCTATTCCCTCCTCTCCTGAAAGACTAACACTGTCAGCATTTCAGATGTGCACATCAGTCTTCATCCCAGGGGAAGGAGAAACCTAATCTCACAGGTCCTCAGACTTTCAGTTGCTGTAGAATTACCTTGAGTACTTTCAAATGCAAATTCCCACGTCCCAGATCCCAACCCACTGGATCATGATCTTTGCCGAAGATGCTGGGAACCTGCATTATATCACGTGCCCCAGACAATTCAGATGCAGGTAGTTCACCAGCCAGAGAACCATCGCCTTATGTGTTCTTCACAAAACATGCCCATCAGCTGTGTTTCTCTTTCCTACAGACGTGACCCCTGACACGAGTTTCCTCTGCTTTTTGCCACCCAGAGTGGTCCCCTCTGCATACTTCGTTTTTAATTAATTAATGTGTCTTTCCCTCTGACTACATTGTGAGCTCATTAGGGGTTGGGTTTTATCCCCATTCCCAGTGCCAAACACATGGCTGAAAACATAGAAGATACTTTGTTGTTTGTTGATTAAATAAATAAATAGCAAAGATTTTAACACCTATACCCCCCGCAAAAAGCCCTATATGCTATGATTTTAGTTTCACGAAAATCCCCCAGAGGTAAATCCATAGAGACAGACAGAGATCAGGGGCTGTCGGGCTGAGCAGGGAGGATGAGGGATGACTGATACCAGGTCCTGGGTGGGTGTGGATGATGATGCTCTGAAACTAGAGAGTGGTTGTGATGTGACTAATACTCGCAAAATGTTGTGAATGCGCTTAGTGCTGCTGGAATGTACACTTGGAAGGAGCATACAGTTAAATTAGATTTTATTTAAATTAAATTAATTTTAATAGCATTTCATTACATTTTACTTAAACTACTTTGTATTTTAACTTAATAGTATGAGGAAAATATAATGTAAATACAAGCTTCTTTTTTTCCCCACTCGAAGGCTGGAGTGTCTTGGGAACCACAAGTGGGTGGTTCTGGGGGCACGTGGCCAGTTGGCAGCTGGGGTCCTGGGCTGGGCTGACTGGCTTCATGTTCTGCTCAGGACGCCCCCAGTGGGCTCTTGGCCTCTGGCCACCCAGCTTTCAGTCACACCAAAGCTTGAGCGATGGGCAGCTGGTGGACACGGCCGGCCCCCACGAGGTAGCGTGTGACTGTGAACGCGATGTCCTGCTTGTCCAGCTCGGTGCTCTGGGCCTCCAGCTTGGTGAACAGGTCCCGCCAGGCCCGGTCCGGGAAGAAGTTGTTGTCGTGGTCATCCACGGAGCACAGGTACCGGGGCACGGGGTGGGACCCCAGCGGGAGGACCTGGAAGCACATGTAGGCCTGCAGCTCGGGCATCTTGGAGGACAGCTGCTCCACGTAGAGCCGCAGCACGGCGCTCAGGTAGTGCTGTGCCCCCACCACCGCCATCTTCACCGGAATCCGGGGCCGGGCATGGTGTTGGCTGTATCTCTCCATCTGCGACACGATGGTGCTGAAGGCCGCCTGGAGGTCAGCCTCGGAGCAGGCGCCCACCACAGGCAGATTTTGCTGCTGCAGGATGTCCCACAGGAACTGCCCCTGCCAGTCGGAGGTGTTGACGAGGATGATGTGGTCAGGCAGCTGGTCGTAGGGGTAGAGAAGGTCGTTTAGCTGATTGTACCCAATCTTCCTGGGGACCTGCAGCTGGCTCTGTGGGCTTGGGCAGCTCTCATTCTGCAGACGGTTGGAGAGCTCGTCCTGCGGCCCAGCCTGCTGCCCCTCCTGTAGGGAGGTGCTCTGGCCTCCGTGGTCGGCCTGCTTCCCCTCGGACGGGGTGAGGGGCTGATGAGAGACTCGGCCTTGCTGATGAGCCTGCTGGCCAGCAGCATCTCTGTGAGGTCTCTGCCTCCGGGCTGTCCTCAGGCTGTGCCGGCTGCTCCTTGGGGAGGGTGTGCTGTGGGCAACTGAGTGGTCAGAACTGTTGCTGGGCTGCTGCTTCCTGGGACCCACATCTTTGAAGGTACATGTGCTGGACTCGCAGGCTCCTGGACCTGGGCACTGTGGATGCTCCTGATCTCCGTCTGCAAGCAGGAGTATGACAGGTGTTCTAAGATTTGGTTGAGCTTGGCCTCGGGGGTGCTCGGGATGCTGTCATCATTCTCCATGTCAGGGCCACTAGGGGTGGGTGTGCTGTGGGCAACGGGGTTGGAGACACTCTTGCTCGGCTGCTGGCCTCCCGAGGCCCACATCTTTGCTGGCACACTGGCTGGACTCGGAGGCTCCTTCAGGCTCCAGGCACTGTGGAAGCTCCCGGACTCTGTGTGCAGACTGGTTTGTGACAGGTGTTCTATGTATTGCTGGAGCTTGGACTTGGGGGTGCTCAAGGTGCTGTCATCATCCTCAATGTCTGGGCCACTGTCACTGAAATACTCCAGGGTGACATTCACAAGGTTCAGGTCCTCCTCCATCGTGGGGACATGCTGCACAGGGTCCTGCTCTGAATCCAGGGCCTCCTGTGACACTGTGAGCCTGGGCGGCAGCACCACGTCTTTCTCTGTCAAGTTTTATTTTTTGGTCGTGGATGTAGTTGTGACCACTGACTGCCACTGCTTCTTGGGCTTCCCCAAGTCAAAGTCATCCTCTTCCAGGTCGTGCCCATGTGTGGAATCGTCGCTGGCCTCCTGCCCAGAGCTGAAGCTCTCATTCCCCTCGTCTGAGTAGTTATCTGTGGCCTTGGCCTTGGGGCCGGCCTGCATGGCACAGTCCTCATGCTCAGTGGGCTGGCTGGTCAGGGAGAAGATCCAGATCTCGGCCCCCTTGGGCCTGGCGTCCTTGAGGCTGCTGCAGAGGCTCAACACCTGGCCTCCCTCGAGGGGTCACTGCATCACCTCGGCCATGTGGATGGTGCCTGTGGCCAGCGTTTTGTAGGCAACCATCTTGCAGCCCACGAGGGTCCGCATCTTAAAGTGCTTTCTGTGCTGCAACATGATCTCCAGCTTGTTGCCTCCTCCCTTCAGGAAGTGGGGGTACTGCAGGGAAAAGGTCAGCGGCAGGTCGGTCTCCACTGTCCACTGGGGGGCAGCACAAGCTTGTGGGACCTAAGAATGCGCTTGGAGCCCTGCATCTTGATGGCAGTAACCGCCGACCGCAGCTCATGCCCAGGCCCCTTGCAGACCACCAGCTTCTTCAGTGTCAGGCTGCACAGACCTGGGCACGCAGGTGGGGCAGGGGACGTCCACCTCCCAGTCAGGGAACAGGTCCACGGGCACCAGCCTGTTGAGCGCGGCAGGGCACTGACCAGGCTTCCGGTTGTTGACGAAGATGCAGACGCCTGTATCATGTTGGTTTTCCTTCTATTCAGGGTGGATGATCTCTCTCCCTGGGGTGGACAGAGGAGGGACATGCCGTCAGAGGCAGCTCATGAAGTGCCAGGTGGGATGGTCACTGCAGCTAAGACTGAACCCACAAGCTCTTAGTGATGATGGCAAGAGGTGGGACACAAGTGACGACAGGAGAGAAAAGGTTCTTAACAAAACAGACCCAGAGATATCGAAGTAGGGTATAGACTGAGAAAACTCAGAAGAAGAGGTGGGAGCAAGGGACGAGATAAACCACAGAAATTACACATGTATGTGTAACCAATGGACATAGAGAACAATCCTGAGGACGGGGCAAGGGGTTGGATCAGGAAGGTGGTGTCAAAGGGGGAAAAAAGAGAAACATCTGTAACAAAAACAAATTAATAAAAAAATTGAAAAAAAAAGAGAAAAGATTCTTGACAGGAAATGTAGAATTGGAGTGAGGACAGAGGAAACACTTCAGTATCTCAGGTCATTATTTCAGCAGAGTGTGGACAACACCTCCCTATATTAAAGTGTCATCCCTGGGATGTCTGACTAAACATCCCATTCTAAGATGAGAACAAGAGGCTTTTCCTGAGGTTGAAGGGGTCGGGATACTAGGACATGTGGGAGGTTCAGGGCAGCACCGTTGAAATGGTAACAGAAGGGGATCATGTCCTGGTCTCACTGTGGTGAGAGATGGATTGCCATGGTAACTGGTCCCCCTCCGGCTGTGTTATGCAGCCCATGGAGCCCCCAGTTCCTTACTTGTAGGGACCAGGATGATGTGGTCCTCAAGGCAGCTAATGGCAAAGCAACAGACTTGGTACCATGAGCCCCATGTCCTTTGGGGAAAATCATCGCTACTAATTATGTAAGACTGGGACAAAGTGTGCAAGGATTACCAGACAGACGTGGACACTTGGGGATGGGCATTAAAGAGGGAATATCTGTAGACAAAGTCATGACATAATTCTAAAGGAATTGATCCAACAAGAACATAGAACTTGGATAAACATATATGCACCTAGTACAGGAGCACTCAAATATAATTTTAAAAGCTCTTGGAGAACTTTACAGGTGAAATTGACAGCAATAAAGTCACAGTAGGGGCCTTTAACACCCCACTGACTTCACCGAATAGATCTTCCAGACAAAAAATTAACAAGGAAACAATGATCCTAAATAGCACACTAGATCAGATAAACTTAATGGACATTTCACCCCATAGCTGTAGAGTACACAGCCTTCTCAAGTGTACATGGGAAAGTCTCAAAGATGGACCACATGTTAGGACACAAACTAAGTTTCTACAACTTATTTGAAATCATATCACATGTCTTCTCTTATCACAATGGTATGAAATTATTAATCAACTAAATAAAAACACTCAAAAGCCTTCAAACACACAGAGGCTAAATTGCATGTTATTAAACAATGAATAGGTTACCAACAAGATCAAAGAAGAAATGAAAAATTCCTGGAAAAAAGTGAAAATGAACACACAGCAACCCCAATTCTCTGGGATGCAGCAAAATCAGTCCTGAGAGGGAAATTCATAGCACCACAGGCCAAACTCTAGAAACAAGAAAAGTAGCTAATTAGAAAGAGAACAAGAGGAAAAGCCCAAGTAAGTAAAAGAAAGAAAATGATAAAGATCAGAGTGGAAATAAATGACAGAGACAAAAAAAAAAAAAAAAAAAAAAGATATATATTTGATCAATGAAACCAACCACTGATTCTTTGAAGAGAACAGGAAAACGATGATCCTCTAGTGAGACTCATCAAACACCAAAGACCCAGGACCAAAATAAATAAAATCATAAATAAAAAACAGGTGAAGTAACAACAAAAATATAAATGTTTCTGAGAAACGATTACAAACAACTATATGCCAACAATTTGGACAACCTGAGAGAAATGGAAAATTTCTTAGAAACAGGCAATCTTCCAAAAATGGAATCAGGAAGAATCAGAAAACCAGAATAAACCAAAAAAAAAAAAAAAAGAAAGAAAGAAAGAAAGAAAGAAATTGAAGCAGTACTCAAGAACTCCCAGAAAACAAAAGCCGGGGAACGGATGGCTTCACAGCAGAGTTTTATCAAATATTCAAGAAGAACTAACTCTTCTCCTCAACTGTTCCAAAAAATTCAAAAGGAAGGAAGAGTTCCAAGCTCTTTTTATAAGACCATCATTATCCTAATTCCAAAACCAGATAAAGCCAGTACAAAGAAAAAAACTACAGGCCAATATCCCTGATGAATATAAATGCCAAAATCCTCAACAAAACATTAGGACATTGGATCCACATGTATATTAAAAAAGATTATTCAACATGACTGAGCGGGATTCATCCCAGGGATGCAAGGTTTGTAAAAAATTTGCAACACAATAAATGTGTTCATCACATAAAGAAAATGAAAGATAAAAATCATTTGATCATATTAATAGACTCAGAAAAACATTCAACAAAACCAAACACCCATTTCTGATAAAACCTCTGAGCACAGTGGGAATAGAGGGATTATACCTCAACCTAATAAAAGCCGTATATGAAAAACTTACAGCCAACATCATAATCAACGGGCAAAACCTAAAAGGCACCTGAATAAGAAAGGAGGAGCCCTGGCTGGTTTGGCTCAGCGGTTAGAGCATTGGCCTGCGGACCAGAGAGTGCTGGGTTCGGTTCCCCCTAGGGGGACGTACCAAAAAAAAAAAAAAAAAAATGAAAGGAGGAAGTGAAACTGCCAGTATTCACACATGACTGGATATTGTACTTGGAGAACCCTAAAGACTCCACCAAAGAGCTTCTAGATTTAAAAAATGAATTTGGCAAATAGCAGGAGACAAAATTAATATCCGCTGGCATTTGTATACACCAATAATGAACACACAGAAAAAGAAACTCAAAAAACAATCTCATTTACCATTACAACAAGGAATAGACTTAACCAAGGAGGTAGAAGACCTGTTCTCAGAAAACTACAGGACACTGAACAATAAAATGGAGAAAAATATAAACAAGTGGAAGCATATACTGTGTTCATGGATTGGAAGAATTAACATCATTTGTGTTTATACTACCCAAAGCAACCTATAGATTCAGCTCCATTGCCATTACAACACCAATGAGATATTTCCTGATCTAGCACAAATACTCCAAAATTTTATATAGAACCCCAAAGACCCCAAATAGCTGCAGCAACATTGAGAAAGAACTGAGTAGGAGGGGTCACAATACTGGGTATCAAATGATACCACAAAGCCATTGTAATCAAAACAGCCTGGGACTCACACAAGAACAGGCAGATAGGTCAAAGGAACAAAGCAGAGACCCAATAAATCGACCCAATCAATATTTGACAAAGGAAGCAAGAACCTACAATGGAGTAAAGACAATCTCTTCAATCAATGGCAGTGGGAAAATAGGGCAGATACATGCAAAAACCATGAAACTGGACCACCAGCTGACATCATTCACAATAATAAACTCAAAATGGAGAAAAGACTTAAATGTGCATCATGAAAGCATAACACCCCTAGAAGCAACCGTAGGCAGCAAAATCCCAGACATCTCGAGTAGCAGAATTTTCACCAATATATTGCCAAGGGCAAGAGAAACAAGGAAAACTAAACAAAAGGGACCACATCCAAATGAAAAGCTTCTATACAGCAACAACAAAATCAATGGAATGAAAAGGGATCCCACAGTATGGGAGAACATATTTGCGAATTATACCTCTGTTAAGGGGTTAATTTCCAAAATATGTAAAGAACTCATACAACTTAACAGAAAGAAGACGAACAATTCAAGTAAGTAACGGGCAAAGCACCTAAATAGACACTTTTCCAAAGAGGACATATGCATGGCCAAGAGACATATGAAAAAATGTTCAATGTAAATAATCATCAAAGAGATGCACATTAAAGTTAAAATGACAGTCAAGTATCATCTGACACCTGTCAGAATGGCTGGCAAATCAACAAACAAGTGCTGGCGAGGATGTGGAGGGAAGGGAACCCTAGTATATTGGTGGTGGGATTGCAGACTAGAGCAGCCAGGCTGGAAACAGAATAGAGTTTCCTCAAAAAATTAAAAATGGAACTGCCGTTTGACCCAATGATCCCACTTCTAGGAATATATCCTAAGGATCCTGAAACATCAATCAGAAAGAATATAGGAACTCCTATGTTCATCGCAGCATGATTTACAATAAGTAAGATGTGGAAGCAGCCCAAGTGTCCATCAGTAGATGAGTGGATAAAAAAGCTGTGGTTCACCCTGGCCGGTTTGGCTCAGCAGTTAGGGCATCGGCTTGTGGTCCAAAAAAACCCAGGTTCGGTTCCCGCTAAGGGCACATACCTCGGTTGCAGTTTGTCCCCGGCCCTGGTTGGGTCGTGCGGGTGGCAGCCACTCGATGTGTCCCTTTCACGTCAGTGTTTCTCTCTCTCTCTCTTCCTCTCTCTCCCTCCCACTCTATCTGAACAAAAAATGGAAAAATGTCCTCGAGTGAGGATAAAAAAAAGATAAAAAAGCTGTGGTTTATTTACACAATGGAATCCTATGCAGCTGTAAAAAGAAAGGATCTCTTACACTTTGGGGTAGCATGGAGGGACGTAGAGAATATTATGCTAAGAGAAATGAGCCCATCAGAGAAAGACAAATATCACATGATCTCACTTATTTATGGAATCTAATTAACAAAATAAACTGACTACAAAACAAGCCCAGAGTCACAGAAGCACGGACAAGATGACAATCTCTGAGGGAAGGGGGTGGATGGGAAGAGATTAACCAAAGAGCTCACAGCATATATCGTAACCCATGGACACAGACCACAGTGCGGTGGAGGCCGGGGTGTGTGGGGGACGGAGTGGGGTGGAAATAAGGAAAAGGGGAGGAGGGACATCTGTAATACTTTCAACAGTAAAGATAAATGATAAAAACAAATAAAGTTTATGGAATCAATAAGTAATAAAAAAAAAAAGGGAAAGTCTGTAGAAAAATGCAAAAATACTCTTGATTGAACACAAAGTAAAATAGTACCAAAGTCTCTTCTGATGTTCATAGAAATTTGAGGACAGTGACTTTGCAGCTGGTCTGAAAGGGGCTGGACAGGGAGAGTGGGGTGGGGAGCAGATGGGGATCCAGATTCCTCTGAAAATTGGACTCTAGAAGGAATCTCAGGAAAGTAGCAGGGAGGATCCTGAAACCTAAGGGCCCCTTTACCTGCATGGGGCCCTGGAGTTTGGGTCACCTCGGCACCTACACTCACCCTGAGGCCGTCGTGCTGCACCCCTGTGGGTGGGCGGGGCTCCTGTGCCTCCTGCAGGGGGATGGAGCTGAGGACCCCATCTGTGAGCTCCTGTCCGCTGTCCTGTGTGGAGCTCTGTGAAGACAGTTCCCAGTCACCAGGCAGAAAGCCTCAGAGCCTGTGTGTGCTGCTTCTCAGACCCCTGGGACCCTGCACTCCAGACACACACACGCCATGATTTGCTCAGACCTCCCTAGGGAAGCCCCCCTCCACCTGCCTGCCCTGCCCTGGGCTTGATCATGGCAGGGCCTCATGTTTCCACCACCCAGCAACTGCTCCTGCCCAGGGGTCCTCCTTCAAGTTCCTTCCCCGCCACCACCCACATGAAGGGAGGGTGTGTGGGTTGCACAGGGATGGCCGCCTGGCCTGGATGGTCTGACCCAGGCCGCCTGTGTTACCTCGGTCCATCTTCTTGAAAATGGCCAAAGATGTCGCAGACGAAGGTTGAACCCACGTCTGGAAGAACTCTCACTGCGGGGTCTCCGGAAACAAGAGCCCCGATGAGTGGGAACACAGCAAGAGAACATCTTGCTCTGTGAAGTGTCTCTCACGACTGAGCTGGCTGTTGGGCAGTTGCTAGAAGGTGGGGCCTGGTTACCGGGTTCCAAGTTCTCTTGCAAAGTGACCTCACTTCCTGGGATGGCCTTCCTGCGTCCCCTCATGTAATGGCAGCTGGACAGATAGTCCTGGGGGCCGCTGACTGCTCACCCCCTCCTCCATGGAACACCATCTCTGCCCACAGTGACCCCAAGACACCTCTCTCCACAGCCCCCTTGAGGCCTGGGTGCAGCCAGGTCCTACATTTGAGGAGACACATCTGGGTTCACACTCAGACTCTCTTATCTCTCCTCGATCCTGGATAAGGCATTGTGCCTGCAGGGCCTGTCCAGCTCCTGCCTGCACATGGGATTGTTCTAGAAGGTGCTTCTAAGGGATGTTCAGGCACATGTGGGGTCAGAGCTGTAAGGCTGGGGAGGCTGTCATGGGAGGTAGTGCCTCCAACCTCATTTTCCTTCCTGTTGTCACCTCCCCTGTGTCTGCTTTTATACCAATCCCACCCTTACTCATTACAGAGAGAGAGAGAGAGAGAGAGAGAGAGAGAGAGAGAATGTGCATGTACAGTGCTCTCATTCTGGACCCCAGGACAAACGGCCCCCACATAAGAACAGGCTGGAGCTTCCCCACATGTCAGGGTTCTAATTCCCAAACCAGCTCTGCGGGGGAGGTTGGAGCCTTGGCCTGGAAGGTCTGAACTTTCCTGAACTCGACTCTGAATATCATGTACCTTGGGCAGTTTCTGTCTCTGTATGTGCCTCAGTTTCCCAATCAGCCAACAATGGTGTGATTCAGAACTGCATAAGCATTAGCTCAGCATAAAGGGGGTCCGGCCTCCCTCCACCCTGGGTGGTTGTGGACAGAGGTGCACCTCCGTGGTTCCAGATCTGGGCTCCTTTTCAGACAAATACTGGCCAAATGCCCGTCTAGGTACCAAGTGCTCACCATCTCCCCCATGCCATCTCCATGTCTGTCCAGGATTCCACCAGCACAGCCTTTTCCAGAGCCTCTGACCCCAGCTTTGAGGACACACCTGGGTTATCTCAGCTCTGCATTCTGACCAATGCGTGATTCTGGGCAAGGCGTGGACCTCTGGGTCACTGGCTTCTCTCCTCACTGACTCCTCATGGTCTCCACCTTCCTGGTGGAGTGTGAATGTGTCCCCTGCACTTAAGTGAGGATAAGTGAGGATGTCATTAGTGACTCCATAGAAGATGGCAAAGTGATCCAACATCACTTCCATGACTTGGTTATAAACAGTCAGGGCCTGACCACGTGCTCACTCTGACCTGTGTTCTCTGTCTGTGTCTCTCAGGTCACACTGAGGAATGAGCCTTTGTGCTGGGCGTTGATATCTGGACATCCACATGGCCCAGCACCGAGGGAGACCAACAGACAGAGCACTAGGCCTCCAGTCCCAACTGAATCCCAAGGACCCCGAGGGAGCCCAGATCCTGAGGGACACAGTCCCTGCCTCAGCTGAGACCTCAGTGAGGGACACCGGCAGTCGTACCCGCTGAGCCACGCTGGGTTCCTCGTCACAGAACCTGTGAGCTCATGAGTGTTTGTTGGTTTAGTCTCCAGGGTGGGGTAACGCGGTCCCACAGCAACAGGTCACTCTTACTGTCGTCCAGCACCGGCCCTGGCCCTGCCCTCCTCCTCCCTCATCTCCCCCAGCTCCCCCAGCCAGCCCACCTCCTCCTACCCGCCTCTCTGTGCAGACACCCTCTGCTCCACGTGTCTGCACAGCTGTGCCTTCTGCAGGCTACATGCCCGGAGTGTGTGCAGGGCTGGCTCCTTCTGGTCCTGCCGCTGGGAACATACATGTCAGCTCAGGGCAGCTTCTCAGCCCCTCACCTGGAGCCTCCAGCCCTCCTCGTGGCACCTGCTCTGTCCCTGCAGAGCAATGGCTCGTTCCTCTCACGTGCTGTTTGCGTGCTGTGCCCCCCTTGCCTGCGCTGGGAGCTCCTGGAGGGCAGGGGCCTGTTGGGTTTGTTTTCAGCAGGGACCCAGTTTGAGTGCTCAGGGCACCGTTGCTGAGGGAACAGATAAGCAGATCCATCCACCACAGACCAGCCCAGTTACAGCCCCACTGACTTTGTCAGTTTAGATGGACTAGATAGAGAACTACGTAAGTTCATCCTGTGATTTGAACCTCTCGTGGGTGTACTACCTTATGCTGAGTTACTGAGTCACCTGCCACATTTCCGTAGCTTGTCACTATTATTTTCCCACAGGGCTGTGCTGTGCGGGTGTTCAGATTGGAGATGCACCCTTCACATGGGCATTCGGGAACCCAGAGTTCTTCCATCATGTGCCTTCTTCATCCCCAGGACGTCACCCCCATGTGCTTCCACCAGCCTGAGGGGACAGAACACAGAGACATGCACGCTGGGGGGCTGTCACCAGGTCTGCGGTGGCACTCACCCGTCCCTGTCCTCTTCCACTGGCCACGACAGCTCATAGGGCCACAAGGGGGCTGGGAATGCCATCCAGCTGTGCCCCAAGTCAGGAGAATGAATTTTGATGGACGATGAAAGTCCTCTGACACGTGAGTAACTCATCTAGAATGACTGTGTTGTTCATGTCTCTACTGAGCACCCGCCGTGTGCCGAGCACCGTGCTGTGTGGGAGACGGAGATCTGATTGTGCAGCATCTTGGCCTGGGACAAGCTCCTGATCTAAAGAAGGAGGTGAGACGTGGCATGAAGTGCCCTGCATTTTTAGGAAAAAGAATAAGGTGAATGTGCTCTGACAGTTCAATGAGTGATTCTACATGTGGAAGCCACCTGGAGCTCACAGCAGTCGGACTTCACTTTCAGAGATGACCAAGATGTGGTTGGGAGAAGATGCCAGCAGGAACTCTAGAAGCAGGTCAGGTAGGTACAACATGTAATAAGAAATACTGTGCAGCCATGAACTCACAGATTTGACATTGTTAAAGGGCAGAGGTCATATTAAATGAAAAGTGAGTATATAGGGTGACCTTATATTTGGAATAACTCCATGTCTAAATGTGGATGAAAGCGTATAAATAGGTTGAGGGGTAGGGATCCGATCTTACATGTTTATTGTTCAGTGAGAAGGCTTCCATCAATATACTTTGGTTTCATGTACTATTTCCTTTAACCGGACATAAGGAGGTGTGATTTGGACACCTTGTTCCCACACTTCCCCACCCCACCCCTGCGAGTCCAGGGGCTGTGACCTTGTCTGTCTTTTCTGTCCTGTAACCTAGGGCCTGAACTAGGAGCTCAATACACACTCCCTGAAATATGTCTCTTGGCCATTTGTGTGTCCTGTTTGGAGAGGTGGCTATTAAGATCCTCTGCCCATTTTTAATTGGATTTTTGTCTTCCTTTTGTTGAGTTGCATGAGTACTGTATATATTTTGGAAATTAACCCTCTATCTGATGTATTGTTGGTAACTATGCTCTCCTATATAGTGGGTGCCCTTTCCATTTTGATTCTTGTTTCTTTTGCTTTGCAGAAGCTTTTAAGTTTGATGTAGTCCCATGTATTAATTATTCTCCTTTGTTTCTCTTGACTTAGGCACTGTATCAATGAAAATTCTGCTGCGTGTAATGTTTGAAATTTTGTTGCCTACATTTTCTCTAGGATTTTTATGGATTCACCAGTCACATTTAAGTCTTTTATCCATTTTGAGTTTATTCTTGTGCATGGTGTAAGTTGGTGGTCTTGCTTCATTTTTGTTTTGCATGTAGCTGTCCAATTTGTAAAAAAATCCTTAAGAAACAGGGTCCACCCAAGAGGAAATCAAAACTACAAATAAATAATATCTGGAGGAGGTGTAAAGGGAAGTAATGAAATCAATGTTATAATATAAAGATTATCACTAAATCAATGTTCAAAAGAAAATCCAAATCCTTGAAAAAATATATTAAAAACCCAAAAGAAAGAAAATTGATTACATGATCAAATCAAGAAATTAGAAAATATAAGAAATGGGGAGAGGTTGGTAAAAGGGTGAAAACTTTTAGCTACAAACAGTTTAAGGAGCCAGCAACAGGCCCCGCGGCCGCAGGAGCTGGAGGAGCAGCCACTGTCCAGTCAGGTGTTTATTGTGCAGGAGCTTGAGATCGTGACCGGCTCCTCTCCTCCAAAATCAGCAAGTTCCTGTACCTGCACACAAGGGAGCGGACGCCACGCCACACCCACTCCTACATGCTCACCATCAAAGCGCTGCCTGTGGCCCCCATGAGCAACCTGGGTGGACCCGAGTACTGTTTCCAGGTCTGGCTGCTGCCTTTGAGGCTCAACGTGGACCAGGATGCCCTGCTCTTCCTCAAGGACTGTTTACCAGCCGGGCAGCAGGCGTCAACCCCATGGTCTCGGCATCAAACCCATGGTCCCGGCAGAGACCTCCGCTGACCCTCACCAAGACTCGAGTCCCCAGAGCAGCCCCAGGAAGGGCAGCGGGAGGGCACAGAGACAGCTGGCATCCAGGAAGCCTCAGGCGGTGGGCAAGCCTCTCTCTCTGAGCAGCAGCCCATCTACTTCAGGGAGTTTCGATTCACATCTGAGGGGCCCATCTGGATGGATCCCCAGGCAAGCATGTCATCATGGACCAGGTGGGCACTTTCACTGGCCTCTTCATCGGCCGGGCCCAGCTCAACTGCCCTGAGCTGGAGTTAAAGCGGCTGTGTTGCCACGTGGACTCCTGGCCCTGGACAGCTGCTGGGCTCTGCTCTCCATGAGTGGCTGCAGGACATCTGCAAGAGCCCGCTGCCTGTCCTGCTGGGGGAGGGGGCCCCACGCACTCAGTTGTCCAGCTCTTCCAAGTGTTCCGGACCTGCTGTGGCTCCCATCCAGCGGTACAGGAAGGATGGGCGCCTTATGCGGGGGCTGCAGAGGGGGAGGGCTGCCTCCTTTGGCTCATCTACAGCTTCTGCTGCCCTGGAACTCAGCAACCGGCTGGTGCAGGCTATCCAGGCCACAGCGGAGATGGTGTATGACATCCTGTCCCCGGCAGCACCCATAACGCGCTCCCTGCAGGACAAGCACTATGTGGGAAGGCTGCACAAGGGCCAGCAAGCAGCTGACCTCCGAGAGGGCGTGGCCAAGGCTTATGACACCCTGCTAGAGGGCACCCTGGACACAGCTCAGATCCCCTGTGATGTGGCATCTCTAGGTCAGGAGCAGAAGGGGTGACTAGTGCTGTGGGGGCGTGATCCGCCAGCTGCCCCCAACAGTGGTGAAGCCCCTCACCCTGGCCACACAGGCCTCATCCAGCCTTCTTGCAGGGATGTGCAACCAGGTCCTCCCCGACGCACACAAGGACCACACTGTCAGGTGGCGTTCAGAGGAGGCCCGGGACTGAGCACCAGGTGCCCAGGACCCCGGGGCTCTGCCGGCCCACCACGACCAGCCAGCCACTGTGGCACTCGGCTCCCACACCTCCCAAGAGCTGTGGCCCGTGGCCTGGTGGGCCGGGCCCTCTGACAGGAGCAGGAAGGACCCTGCCCCTGTCCCACCTGCTGCCAATCGCTGTGAGAGTGGGGCCTGCCTGCCTGGGGCCTCGGCCCTCTCTGCACTTTTCTCTGGGGAGAAAGGGCACCGCCCTGCCAACACCTGGGCCCACACCACTGCCTTGTCCCAGGACGGAGGCTTTTTGGACCTTGGACCCTGACCCCACTCAGCCAAGTGTCTTTCTGTGTCTCCAGGGGAGGTGGGAGGATGGACACTGTGTGGTTCAGTGTATTATTTTTAAGCTCCTGAGCGTGTGGGTCAGTGTCAGCATGAAGTGAAATGAACTGTGCTCAGTGCACCCCCCCAAAAAAAGAAGTTTAAGGATTGAATGTATATACAACCTGGTGACTACTGTTGACAATACGGTATTACATCACTAAAATTTGCCAGAAAAACTTGTTCTCAAAAAAAAAAATGTAAGTATGAGAGGTGATGGATGTGTTAATTAACTCAAATGTAGTAATCTT